CGTGAATGTTGGATTCTAGTCCATGATGTATCAGTATCTGTTTGCATTTAAAAATACTGCTTTAACGCATGCCTCGTCACACATTGGGGTCTCCAGGGTTCCCGTTCCTCCCGGCCCACTGCCACAACGTGGGGAAGCCAAGCGCCAGGGAACAGCCGGTGAGCAAGTCTGTCTGGGGCTGGTTCTGCAGAGGGCATGGATCCGTGCTGCAGGGAGGCCTTTGGGAAGCAGGCAGCTCTCGATCTGTTTAGAAAGGGTGTTTCTGTCCCATGGCCCTGCTGGCCTGCCCTCTCTGGCAGCCACACCTGTTTTGTCCTTCTCCCTATACCCAGCCAGACGTCTCTCTCAGAGTGACAGCAGCAACTGGGGACATCTGCAGAACCTCCCTCTCAGGCCCGACAAAGGCACTCAGAACCTGGCCCAGGCCTGCAAGGGGAGGAGCTGGGGAGGGGAGGGGTGGGCCAGGGACATGGACAGCTGTGGGCTGGTGTGGCAGGCGGGGCCCTGCCCCAGAACAGGTGAAGTCAGCGGGGCGGAGGAGGAGGGTCCCCTGGGTTTTCAAGGGTAAAAGAGAAGACCGTGCAGAGACTTCTCAGCACATGGTGGCTTAACTCCATGACTGGGGTGGTTTTGAGCTCCCTGCTTCCTCAGACAGGACCTGGCAAAAGGAGTGAGGAGAAGACACAGCCGTGAAAGGGGTGTCCCTATTCAGGCTGGGTGGGCAGCACTGTGGGAAAATGTGGTAGAAAGGACACAAAAACAGGGACTGGGAGGAGAAGCATTGCAGGGACCCCAGATGAGATACTGAATTGATGTTGGAAAAAGTCTCTCTGGGCAGAGCCCAGGAGAGGGGTCACCCTGAGGCCAATGGGGTCTTTTCAGAGAAAAAAAAATCTTGCCTGGAACTAGTTTCTTAAAAGGCATAAGCTAGTTTTGGGAGGAGATAGAGGATAAAACAGTAAAAATAATAACAATTGTAAGCCCTTTTATGTACATAGCATGACAGAGTTATAAAGCAGTTTTTTTGTCCTTTTGATCCTCCTAAACCCCTAGAGGGTGGTCATTCTTTCATTGTTCATGCAACAAATACGGTGCATTTGTTATAGGCCAAAAAAGTGAGGCTCAGTGATTAGTGACATCTTTCCTGAGATCACATAGTGGGCTTGTTTTAGTTAGGCAGGATCCAAACTCAGTTCTGGTTCTCTGTTCTCTCCACACTCTTTTCTTTCTTCTGTTGTAACTGTAGGTAATGAGGTCCTAGAGGTAGTACCTTGATTCTGCAGGGAAATGACAGTAGGGACTCAAGAACGTAAGGGACATAAGGAACCTGGCATTGTGGACTTGTGATGCCTTTAACGGTATTTGTACTCGCGATTCCCCACACTTTGGTAAAGGTTGGTTGTTCACTTAAGCACACGCATGTGCTGGTCTCATTGACAGAGCAGGAATGGTGGGAAAAGGACAGAAATGCAGGTGTGGGGCCTGGGAAAAGGAAACTCCTCTTTTAAATAGTGATGATGGCAGCAGAACGTTAGTGGAGGCAGGTGGGTGGTGGTGAGAACCTGGCTTCCCTGGAAGGTTTTTTTCCTCCCCTTCATAACAGCTTTATTGAGATATAATTCACATACCATAAAATTCACTCTTGGAAGATTTTAATGGACTGGACACAGGTGATAACCACACAGGGCAGTGACAGACCACTCTGAGTACAGTCCAGAGAGCTGATGCGGTCCCAGGAAGCCTCTTGAATGCCATCCTCTGCCCTCGTTGGGACCCAGAGTTTGGAATCCTATCTAGGGTGCTTTGTTTCCTGGAGTGTTTCTTTCTCATCAGACAGTATCCCTGGGAACTGGAGCTCTGAACTCCTCTTTCCTGCAGTTTGTGAAGGTTGAGGGTGGAGAAAATCCCACTCTATTCGTAAAGTCTCTGGAACACCTCCACCCCGAAAGGTCACCCTGCTTGGTTGCCCCAGAGGCTTGTAGGAGGGGCTGGGGCTTCTAAAACCAAAACTTTCACTTCACATGTCAGTGATTCTGCATCGTCATATCTGCAGCAGAAATGGCCTGCAGGGCTTTCTCGGAAGGGCTGCAGCTTTCTTTACACAGCCTCATCTGCCCACTTTTGGGGGGTAGACTTCTGCTGAGCAGGGGGGCTATTTGGTATAGTCTTGAGCCCTCCTCCCCTGCACACACGTGTCCCCTTTCGTCTCTTCGCTCCCCTCTGAGGTGACCTGAATTTGGAAGTGTAGTTGAAGTGAAGGGCTCTTGCAGGGCTACTGATTTCTTAGTTTCAGGTGCATCCTGCCACCTGCCCTCCTCCCCGTGCTGGTTCCTGGGCCAGCCCCGCAGCCTGGTGTGGGACAGGGAGAAAGTCCTGGCTGGACAAGGCTGAGGAGTGCCCTTTGGAGTGGCTCCCACTTGTTCCCTGGAGGCTGGGCTCTGGCTTCATGGTGGCAGGCTCTTCTAGGAATGTGCTCCCCAGCTGGGTTTTCTGGTTGGTTGGGGACATCCCTGGGCTGGTCTGTCCTAGCTGTTAGGGGCTTGCTCTAGGCTGACCCAAGGCCAGCTGCAGGGGCTGGGCCCTCAGGGGAAGTCAGGATGGCCACAGGCCTGCAGAGGAACCTGGCAGCAGTGGGCACTGGAGACCATGTGGCTTTGCTTTTGCTTCCCTCATTTGGATGAGTTGTCAGTGGAAGGGAAGAAATCAGGCGAATGGAAAAAGCAGAAAGGCTGTACACTGAGCCCCTGCCAGGAGTCCTGAGAGTCTAGCCTCTACTTGGGGGGTCTGTATCCCTGAGCACCCCAGTCCCTCAATTGCCACTGCCTTCTTCTGTGGGAGGAGCAGAGACGTGACAAATGATTGGCTTGCCCTGTGATCTGGTGCAAGTCACTTAACCTCTCTGAACCTCAGTGTTCTCATCCTTAGAATGAGAGGGATAAAACTCTCTCACATGCAGGATGGTTGAGTAAGCTGCATGGAGAAACAATACTGTCTAGTGGGTGCTAAATCCAGGAGCCTGGGCTCTTCTTTGCAGAAAGTGATTTCCCTGGTTCCCCATTCGCTTTTTTTTTTTTTTTTTTTTTTGAGGCAGAGTCTCACTCTGTCACCCTGTCTAGAGTGCAGTGGCGTCACCGTAGCTCACTGCAACCTCAAACTCTGGGGTTCAAGTGATCCTTCTGCCTCAGCCTCCCAAGTAAGTGGGACTACAGGTGCACCACTATGTGTGGCGAATTTTTTAAAATTTTTTGTAGAGACAGAGAGTCTTGCTATGTTGCTCAGGCTAGTCTTGAATTCCTGGCCTGAAGTGATCCTCCCGCCTCAGCCTCCCAGAGTGCTAGGATTACAGGCATGAGCCACCACGCCCAGCCTCCCCTATTTACTTTTTTACAATCACAGAATCATGGATCTTAAATGGAAGGGATTTCAAGAGGTCATCTGGTCCAGTCCTCTGGCATAATTATCTATATTTTGCAGATAAGACTGTTTTAAGTGCTCATTACTTTGACATGTATGTCATAACATGGTGCAAATAAGCCCTTTTCCTCTTGGTGAGGTGTGACCTCCAGGTGCACACAGGTGCTCTGGCCAGCAGAGAGGTGGAAGAGGATGGGAGAGCCATGCCCCTTAGGACCAAGTGTAGGTTTTGCAGGGTTTCTAGGCAGAAAGTTTGAGTGTTGCCTGTGTCAACCTCCCCCCCCAACCCCTGTCCTCCAGGCTCAGTGGGAGAAAGTGAGGGATGCACCTGGTTCTCAGGACTGGCTGTAGGGAGAAAGTGACTGCCAGAACACAGTGTATTCTTCACTGGTCTTTCTTTCAAAGGAAACTCTCCTTGTGACCCATCTCCTTGAAAAACAACAACAAAATACACCAGAAAACACAGAAGGAAGAACAGGGCTCCCCACCCTGGATTTTCCCTTGGCCCTGGAGCCTCATTGAATGTGGGGGCCAGCAAGAACCTCCTGAGCTGCAGTCAGGCAAGGAGGCATCAGGGCTTGGACCAGAGAATTGATTGGGGGAAAATGTGGGCATCGAGTGAAAAGCTGCCCGACTTTGGCCTGAGTTGCTAGGATTAAACCCAGGAGGCTTTCATCACCTAAGTAATGGAGCTTTTATAGGGGTCTTTTATAGGGGCTGGGGCCAGCTTCTCAATAACCTTTACGCGCACTAGGATGCTAGTGAGCCAGAAAGTGAAACTTGGGGAGGCTGTTAATAAACTGTCTTGGAGAGAATTGTGCATGATTTACCGTATCCAAAACCAGAGAGAGTTTTCTTTGTGGAAGAAAGCGACTTGTGCCCTCCCAACATCACACACACACTTTCCTGGCAGGCTCGATGGGTTTCCAAACATTTCGTCACCGTCTCCTCCTGACCTTGATGTGAAAGGAACAAGCCGCGTGGCCTGTTGGTTCCAGCAAAGCCATCGGGGGCGCCGGCCTGGGCTGGGGGAGGGTGGCGACCGACTCGAGAGTGGAGGTGAGGTCTGCTGGAAATCCCCAGCCCCGGCAGCCGCCTGAGGTTTAAAGACGCCTTCCCTGGCCTTATTTGGTCGCAGGAAGTGGGCGGCGCTGGGCCTGCGGGCTGAGAGGCCGAGCCGAGACAGTTGTGCTGATGAAGTGGTAGAGCTGGTTTCTGCTCGCCGCGGTGCCGCGCGCGCCGGCCGGCCGCTGGGCGCTCCGCGCTCCCAGCCTCGAGTTGTGCAATCCTTTGTAGCACGCCAGAGAGTCCTCCTCCTTCGCTGTTGCCTCTCGCCCTCTCTCTCTTTTTTTTTTTCAAGCTGTGAGCTCAACCGATGAGTCAGAGCCGTGCAATCCTGACACTGCATCGCAGGACTGGGGGTGACACGGAGGGAGGGAGAGCGCTCGCGAGGCGGACAGCACGGGCGCGGGGCGCGCCGAGGATCCTGCGCCGCGAGCGGGGGGTGACAGCCCGCGCGTCCCGCCCGGGCCCTGCCAGCAAACTTCCCAGCCTCTGGAGGCGCGGGCTGGCGGAAGCCCTGCGAGCGCCGCAGGGAGGCGACGGCGCCTGTTTGTTTTTAAAATCGGGGAGTGCGTGCAGGCGGCTGAAGTCTCGGAGGCGACCAAAGGCGGCGGCCTGCGGAGGAAGGGGGACAGCCGAGGCAGGAGCTCGGGCACCAGCGGAGTAAGTGGGGCTGCCGAGCCGGCGGCTGAGGCCTGCACGCGGCGGGGGCGGTGAGGGGACCCGGGGCGGCGCGCAAGCGGTGGCCGCTCGCGCGGCGGGCTGCAGCTCTGCATGCGCGGCCCGGAGCGGGGGTGCAGGGCCGTGGGGGCCGCCGCGCGCGAACTTCTGCGGCCTGGGAGGCCGTGGGAGTGGGTGTATATGGACGTGAGGTGGCCGCTCGCAACACCCCCCCCACCCCGGGGCCCGCACCCTCCGCCCGCAGCGGCGTGTGCAGCGCAGCCCCGCGGTGTTTGTGCAGCTACGCAGCTCGCGCGCGGCCCCCGCCCACCCGGGCGCGGCCCCGGCAGGAAAACCCTCCCAACCCGCTGGGCCCACGGCGGCGGCGGCGGCTCGGGAATCGGCTGCTCCTCCTCCGCCGGAGCGAAACGTGGTGTCCGCAGGGATCCGCTGGCATGACGGAGCCCAGGCCCGGGAGGCGCGGCAAGGGGCTCGCAAGCTGCGGGAACTTGGCGCAGCAGCCCCTTCCTCTTCCAGCGTGCACGGGAAAGCGGGCATGGACACTGTGTCGGCGCCAGGAGTTTGGGGGACAGAGGTGCAGTGGCAGCAGGGAACTGGGGCAAGTCTAGTAGAGGCCTAGGTTGGAGCGTCTAGCGCGGGCGGCAGGCGGGCGAGCGTAGAGCCGCCTCGCCCCGCGCACCCCGGCGCTGCTGGCACACCTCAGACCTGTCATCCGCCTCGGCCGCCCCCGTATGCCCGCGCTGCTGTGGCCAGCCCGGCCTCGCCGGTGCAGTCATCCGCGGTGCCTGTCCGCAACGCTGGAGCCCAGGGTTTGTCTGGGCTCTGCATATGGCCGGCTTGGTGGAGCTGATCACATCCCCCTTCCAAGTCTCACATGCAGGAGCGTGTGCACCGGGTTGCCCCTCTGAGGGCCCCCACCCAGGCCTCTGGGTAAGGGCTGTGGGGAGGCAGGGGAACCTGGTGTGTCCTGGGGCTTTCAAGCTTCCATCCCAGGGCAGGCAGACCTGGAGGAGGTACCTGCCACCCAAAGTGAAGAACAAGGTTGTCCTAGCCTAGCCTCCAGTGAGAGCTGCTGGAAAGATGGAAGGGGAAGTTACGTGCCACATTTAAAACTTTGTTGGTCACAACTTCGGTGCTTCTTCCTGTTTCCACCATCCCACGTGGGACCTGTGTGCCAGCTGTGGAGCCTCGCTTAGGGGGTAGCAGGATGGGGAAAGAGCTGGCTGGCCCTGGCTGGCCATGGAGGCTGCTGTGGCTGGTGTGTGCAGGGGATCCCTGTTGGCAGCTGTGGCTGGGGGAGCAGAGGTCTGGCTCACCCCAACAGGAGGAGCCTGGCCTGGAGGTCTGGGCTCTCCTTGTTTCCTGTAGCATCAGGATTGAGACTGGAGGCCCAGCGGAGGTGGAAGGAGAACTAAAGTTCTGAGGAGAAGCCAGTCCTCCCCAGGGGGCCTTGGCTGAGGGCAGAGACCACTTGTCTTGCTGCAGAGCCTCCCAGGGAAGGTGCGGCACATGCCCCTTTAGGATCAGAGAGTTGCACCCTTTCCACAGGTGTTAAATGGCTTTGGGACCAACAGGAAAGGAAAAACCTTCCCAGGTGGACAGTTTATGAGTCCTCTTTTTTCTACTGCACTGGATGGTGAATAATAGGGGTATAAGCATTCAATTACTGTGATGAACCATCTCATTGCATGGCCCTGGTCCAGTCTCCACTGTAATTGGATTGGCCTCTGGCTGGTTACGCTGGTCTGTGTCACTCCCAAGGGACAAGGGGGTAAAGAACCTGGAGGAAGCCCCCAGGTCATACAGCTTGCTCTGGAACAGCCTGCGCACTGCCAGTGTGACTTCTCCAACTGCTGGCAGAGCCCCTGCTCCCCATGGCTCTGTCAGCCCTTCACCCACCCCAGGAAAGAGTGCCCTGGAGTGCCCACAGGGATGAGAATTTAGCTTTTAAACGTGGGACTTTAAAAATAGCCTCAGTGTTTGACTCTGTGGGCTGCTGCTTTCAATAAATGGAAAAAAAAGAAAAGACAACGTGTAGTTACTGATTCAGCTGAGGGCCTTCTGTGGCTGTAGAACCAAGACCTCTGGGAGAAGACGGGAAGGGGAATGGGCCCAGTCCAGGAATCTTTGGCCTTGATAGCCCCTCTCCTGCAGTTGGGTCTCCCAGAAGAAAACCTTGCCCATGGTGGGGAAGGGGACAGCCTCAAGTCACTGGGAGAGTCATGCTTATCCTTCTAGTTCTATTTCAGTTGCCACTTCTGAAGGCCTTAACTGCCCTCTGAACACTCATTTCCATCATCTGTAGTTATTTGTGCACATGCTGCAGTATGGTGGTCAGAAACATAGACTCAGAGCTGGGCTCTGTTACAGTATCTCCTTCACAGAGTGGCTGTGAGGATCTGTTGGTGTGCTTAAAATGCTTAAAGCACATTTCAGTATTATAGTAGCCTCTGCTCTACTGTAAGCTCTGTGTTGTTCCCACAATGCCTGGCACCTGTAAGAGTTCAGTGCATGTTAGTTGAACAAATGAGTGAAAGATCTCCATCAAAACAATGTGGACTTGGCATGTGTTGGGCCCAGTGAGTCCCTGCTGCTGGGACCTCCTCACACTACACCATTGGTTGCCAAAGGGTCAGTCCACCATGGGTGATTCTACTGCTGGTGAACCTAGTTCCCTGGCACTGCCCTGTAGCTGGCCTTGGAGTACATGTCCCGGTCATCTTGATCTGAACCCAAGGGGACCTCAGGATGAAAGAGTTGTGGAGCCACCTGCCTGGGGATCTGCTAACCTGGGCATTTCCTTTGGCCAGGCGAGGCTGGCACCCTTCCTGTGTGTGCAGGCGTGCATCTGTGCAGAAGCAGCCTCACAAGCTGGGTTCTTCCCTGACTCACAGCAGGCTTCAGGAAGTGCAGCCAGTGGTTGCATTCTGTTGGAGGGGTCGCTTCTGCACGGTAGAGCTCTGACTCCAAATGAGATTGCATGCTGGGCTGGGGCTACGTGGAGTATGCTGAAATCCCCAGTTCTTACTAAGGGATTTGCATTTGCATTGGAAGCAACATTCAGGATACCGTGAGACTGTGAGCTCATTTTATGAATCAGAAGCATTACAGCATAACTTTGGTGTTGAAAACTGCTATTTGGAAGCTAGATCACCCTCCCTCCACCCCAGTACACATGGGCTCTCACAGTCACACACTTGGGAGCAATAACAGTCAGTGGGGGCATCAATTCGGATTCCAGAGCCATCAAGCAAAACTCATCCGCACCCAGTTCCGCCCCCATACTCAGAACGCCATTCCTGATGGTGTGTGGACACTCACCTGAGCAGTGACTGAAGGAAGCCTGGTGGGTAGGTGGGAATGAGGCCTGGGCAGGCCCGGGTTCATACTCCAGCTTCTTCACTTGCCGTGTGGCTGTGGACATTGCCTAACTAACTTCCTGGGCCTCAGTTTCCTCATTCTTAAAATGGGGACAATGATAGCACTCACAGGCTGTGAAAGTCAAACCAGACTGTGTGCAAAGCGACTGGCACATATTAGGTACTCAACAGATGGTAGCTGTCGTTTTACCAGTTCCCACCAGGTCCAGCTCCTGTTTCCCTTTTGCTCCTACCAGGAGGAGAAAATGAAGAATGAGGGCCTGTGGTAGCAAAGCTGTCTCCCAGGCCGTTGGGGCTTATGTAAATGAAGCTCATTTTCTAACACCCTAGGCCCTGGGCACAACTGTGTGGTCCACTCCCCCCAGACCAGCCCAGACCCTGGTGCCTGTGTGCCTTTGAGAGGGACTCTGTTTCTGCAGCTGAGGGATCAAGGGCTCAGCTTCCCAGAGATCTGATTGTGCTCTGGGAACCTACCCACCCAGGCCCCAGGCTGAACTGCTCACGTGGGCGGGAGGAAGGCCGCTCTCTCAGCCAAGAAAAAAGTCCCCTTGTTTTTGCTTCACCTGAAGCCTCACAGTGTGACCTTCATAGAGGTTTGGGTGGAGCTGGGGGTGGGAGTTGTTCCTCCAAAGACCACTTTGGCTCCTTCACCAATTAAAATTAGGAGCAGGACGACAGGAGCATGAAGATATTATATAAGAAGAAAATTGCCACATGTCAGGAAAGAGCTGAGGTTTTGCAGGGGTGGAGACGGGTCTCCTAGAGGGAGGCCATTGCTGGAGGAGCGGGGCTTGGGGCTGGAGGCTTCCCTGGCAGTCGTTCTTGCGCTTGCTCTTCCTGGAACGTAGCCGGCACTGTGGCCAGCCAGGGAAGGTGCTCCCTGTTCCCTCTGCCTTTCTCCCAGCCGCAGGGAGCTCATGGTGAGAGTGTTTTTTCCAGGCAGCGCTTCTTCCTCCAGGAGTCCTGGGAAGGGGGGGAGCCAGGGCAAGGTTTATCCGGGTTAAAGCTTGGAGAGGGGGAAGTATACTGGGCTTGCAGCCAGAAGGGGGTTCCCTCTGAGGCCACCCAACTTCTCTGGGGAAGTGAGGTCCAGAAAGGAAGGCAAATGGTAAGGGATTTTGATTCCCACCTTTTCCCAGTAGCTGGGCAGAGGCCCCAGTGCAGCCTGTGTTGCCAGAACTTGCCAGGTCTTTGGAGAGAAAGGCCCCTCAGAGCTGAAAAAGGGGCTTAAGTAAGAGTGTATGTGGGCTGGCCCTACACCCTCTACCTCCTCCTCCCAGCTGCCGGCTGCTCCTGGGGCCAGCGCCTGGCTGTGACTCAGATCCCCCTCCACACCTGACCTTGCTCTGTCTGAAGCCCCGGCTGGCCCCGGGTCAGAGTCCTGGTCTCCTGGAAGTCATCCCAGAGCTGGGAAAGCATTTGGGACATCTAGTTCAACTCCTTCATTTTCAGATGGGGAAGCTGAGAGGGTGAGTTGCTTGAGGTTCCCGTAGAGCATCTCCACTTTCACCTTGGGAGGGTGGGAAGAGGGGCTGCCCCTGAGTCCTGCCCCTGGGAAGTTGGGAGGGCTGCTTCCGTGCAGGAAGAGCCCAGAGGAATACT